TATTCTTATAATTTATATATACCTTAATCTAATAATAGCTTTCTCTTAAGTAATACCTAAATTCCTTAAAGGTATTAATAATAGCTAGAAATTCTTTATTATAGATTAAGTAATTAAGTTCTATTCTTTATAACTTATAGGAGTAAAAAATAATTAAATAAAGGTTTCTATTTATATTTTATTATTTAATTTAGGCTCTTAAGGCGAAATCTAAGAAGTTTATCTTAAGTTTAATTTCTTTATTAAGGTTAAATATAATTAAAATAAGTTTATTAAGAATTACTTCTTTAATATTATTAAAAGCTTATTATATTAATTCTATTTATTTAAATAGCTTACTTTTCTTAGTAAACTTAATAAAGGGTATAATAAGTTTATTAAAGTTTTATATAAATTTATAGTAATAATTAATAAATCTTAAGAAAGATTATATTTCTTTAAGGTTAATAAGTTTTAGCTAGTCTTTAATAGCTATTATCTTATATTTATCTATTTATATTTTATTATAAGAGATTTTATATCTAAAGAATATAACCTTTTCCTAATAAAAATAGCTCTTTATAGGCTTAATTAATATATTAATATCTTAGAGTATTTATAGAACCTTATAGATATATTCTATATATTAATTTTTTATATTAAAGAAGATAAGGATATTATCTAAGTAATAAATAATAAAGATATTAAGGTATTCTCTTAGTATATTAGTAATTATTTATTAAAATATAATAAGAGTATTAATAAATCTAAAAGGTATTACTAGGTATTTAAATAATATATATTTAGTTTAAAATATAGTCTTTTAATTATTTCTTTCTTTAATATATATAAAGTTATATATAGCCTTTAGGTTAAGTATAATAAAGAAATATTTTCTAAAGAGGTAATCTTTTATTTTTATAATAAATAATAATAATATTTAATCTTTTAATATAATTATATTAAGTTATTTATAATTTATAATTAATTATAATTTATTTAAGTTTAATTTATTTAAGTTTAATTTAGGAATAAATATAATAAGGTATTTAATTAAGGATTTTAAAGTTTAAATATATCTCTTTTATAGTATATCTTATAATTATTCTTTAAGTATATTAAGTTTAGTTTATATTAAGTTATAAATAAAGAAGAACTTAGGTAAGGTTTTATTTTTAAGGATAATCTTAAGATCTTAGTTTATATATTATAATAGCTTAGTATTAAGTTCCTCTTAAAATAACTTCTTATAGATTTTATATTTCTTAGGTATATTCTTAAGTTATTTATTAAGTTCTTTATCTTAATAGTTCTTTATATCTTATAGGTCTTTATCGAGTTATTATAATTAATATCTTAGGTAACTTATTATTTTTTATTATTATTATATATAGCCTCGTATATATAAATATTATATTTCCTTTAGGGGTAATAATAGCTATATATTATATTATATTTTACTATTTATTATTTAATTAAAATTTAAGAATTCTCTTTATTATTATCTATTATTAGAAAGTTATTATTATTAAGATATACTTAATTAATTCTCTAATTAATAATAGGGTTATAGTATCTTAACTAAGGAAAGCCTAATATTAGGTTATAACCTTAAATAGAAATAATATTAAAATTAATTTTTTAGTTTTTTTTATATATTAAGATTTTTATTAAAAGTCAATACTAAGCTAAAAAGCATAGCGTGCGCCACTTTAGTTAGTAGTGCTTCCCTTTACACTGCCCTATAGCTAATTTAATAATTTTAAGGTAATTAATCTCTTATTTAATTTATCTTTTATTATACTTAAAGAGTATTTTTAAAAGATTTTATATTTAATAAGGTTAATCTTTTTATTTCTAAGGTAATTAAAGGCTATTAACTTTTTCGGGGTCTATATAATTACTTTTAGTATTATAGTTTATTAATATAATAAGCTATTTACCTTTAATTTATACCTTTAATATAAGGCTTCGTTTAGTTATATTATTTATAGTATATAAAGCTCTTTCGGGAGGTTAATTTATTACCTTAGGCTCTTTGCTTACCTATAGCTCTTCTATAGGTAATATTTAAAGTTTTTTAATAATTTATTATTTTTATTTTTATTTTTATTTTATTTTATTAATTCTTATAGGATTTATAATATAATTTCTTATATTAATAGGTCTTTATTATTTTATTATATATAAAATATAATAATTTTATTATATATATATTTAATATATAATAATAATAAATATCTTTTAATTACTTAGGGGTATATATTATAATATTCTTTAGGTTTCCGTATATATTATAGTAAGATAATATAATACTTTATTCTCTTAATATATAGATAGGGTTCTATATTAAGAGCTTAGTAAGGGTTCTAGATTAGTCTATTATATATATATTAAGGAAAAATATTATATTATTATTTTTCTTTAAGATATTCTTTATAGTTATAATAAATATAATTAATTTATAATATTTTATAATATTTAAGGTAATTTAATTATATTTATTTATAATTATTATTTATAAAAAGAAGTAACGTACTTGATAAGTGAGCTGTACAGACAAGTGAGCTGTACAAAAATCCCTCAACCTACATCTTCCTCATTTGATCAATTAATTCTCAACGACCCAGGATGTCACAGTCTAATAGAGAGGCTAGAATCCTTCTAGCCCTTCATGCCTATCAAAATAACCCAAAACTTAGTCTCCGACGCGCTGCATCAATCTATCAAGTTAATCATAATACCCTCCGCGCCCGATATAATGGCATCCAAGCCCGAGCTGATATGATCCCTAAATCACGCAAGCTATCTGATCTAGAGGAACAGATCCTTATTCACTTTATTCTCGACCTAGATTCACGAGGATTTCCCCCTCGGCTTCGTGGTGTTAAAGATATGGCTGATCAATTGCTTGCCGACCGCGACGCACCACCAGTTGGCGTGCGCTGGGCTTCAAACTTCGTTAAGCGACACTCAGAGCTTAAGACGCGTTTTTTTCGGAAATACGACTACCAGAGAGCCAAATGCGAAGACCCAACGATTATCCGCAATTGGTTTCAGCTCGTGGGGAACACAATCGCGAAGTATGGCATCCGATCAGATGATCTATATAACTTTGACGAGACTGGCTTTCTTATGGGCATGATTGCAAGCGGAATGGTTATCACAGGTTCAGAAAGGCGTTCAAAGCCGAAATCAGTGCAGCCTGGAAACCGGGAATGGATTACAGTCATCCAGGCGATCAATGCGGAAGGCCAGGCGATCCAGCCGTTCATCATTGGCGCGGGCCAATATCACCTCGCCAATTGGTACCAAGATAGCAACCTCCCGGGCGATTGGGCTATTGCAACGACCCAAAATGGCTGGACCGATAACGAGACCGGTCTCGAGTGGCTTAAGCACTTTGACCGGTGCACAGCCAAGCGATCAAATAGTCGCTATCGCCTCTTAATCCTCGATGGCCATGAAAGTCACCAGTCTATCGAATTCGAGAGATATTGTGAGGAAAAGAAGATCATCCGGCTTTGTATGCCGCCTCATTCCTCTCATCTACTCCAGCCCCTTGACGTCGGGTGCTTTAGCGTGCTAAAGCGAGCTTATGGTCGAGAAATAGAGCATCTGATCAGATGCTCTATAACCCACGTTTCAAAGAATGAGTTCTTTCCGGCCTTCCACGCTGCACACGAGGCCACTATGACGGAAAGAAATATCAGGGGGGCTTTTAAAGGAGCTGGCCTTGTTCCCCTTGACCCAGAAGCTGTGGTCTCAAAGCTTGATGTGCAGCTACGGACTCCAACGCCTGCCGAGGAGGGGGTTGAACCCTCCACCCCTTGGGTCTCAAGGACCCCAAAGACCGTGCTTGAGGCCGGATCTCAGTCTGAATACCTCGAAAGACGAATTAGAAGGCATCATAGCAGCTCCCCAGAGTCAATTATAGAGGCTATGAAGTCTCTTACGAAGGCAGTAAAGGGAAATATGCATGAGATTGCATTATTAAGGGCTGAGGTTAAAGACCTTCGAGAGGCAAATGAGATACTAAGCCGGCGCCGGAGGGCAAAAAGGACTAGATTGCAGAAAAGAGGAGTAATGACAGTAGAGGAAGGAAGGCAGGCAATTGATCAAATGGATGCTAATGCGCAGGTAGTAGCCGAATCATCGAGACGTAGTGGTCAAGGAAGGTCGGCGCGACCGGGGGTTCGGCGTTGTGGTGTCTGCGGCCAGCCCGGCCATAATGCAAGGACCTGTCAGGTAGTGATTGAGACGTCTGGGGAAGAGTATAGTGAGTAGTTTTAATTGATCAAATGGTTTGTGGTATTTTTATAGCGATTTTAATCTTATAGGCTAAGAAAAGTGTACAGCTCACTTGTCTGTACAGCTCACTTATCAAGTACGTTAACCTAATTATATTTATCTATAATAATTATTTATAAAAGGGGGTATTTATTATATTTTTATTCTTTTTTATTCTTTTTCTATTAAAATTATTAAAAACTTAAATATAAGATTAAGGTTCTTATAGATCTTAGCGTATTAATTTAGGGTTCGCTAGATATATCTTTTACTTAATAGTTTATTATTAAGAACTTAGGTAATCTCTTTATTATATTTTAAGTATTCTTAAATAAGAACTTATTTAAGATTAATTAATTTAATATCTTTTTATAATATCTAATTAAGGGATATAAAGAGTATCTAATTATATATATTTTATTATATAGATTATTACGCGGGGTAATTTTATTAATAGGTATATTATATAGGAAATTAATCTAATAATTATTAGGCTTATTTAATAGGTTTTTTTTCTTAAACTAAGGGTTAATATTATTCTTTTTGCTAGGCTATTATTTAGGGTTCTAGGTTATTAGTATAAAATATAATATTTTTATTATTCTTAGGATAGAGATCTATAAGTATATCTATTTTAATAGTTTTTTTAATATATTTTATTATAGTAATAATTTATTTATTATTATTATTTTATAATAAATTATAAGATAATATAAGGGTAAATTTATTTTTATTCTCTTACTAAGTAACTTAATTAACCTATTAGTCTTAATAAGGTCTTTAGCCTTTAGCTATAATAAAAGATAAATAATTACTCTTATAATATCCTTTTTTTTTACAGTTATAATAAGTAATATAAGATTTATCTTATTAGATATTCCTAATATCTATAAGTCCCGGTTAAGTATTATATAAGGTATTTCCTTTATTTTTATTTTTATTATTCTTTTATTCTTAGTTTTATTTATTATTCTTATCGGGGTAATAAGGATTAAATTAAGAGGTATAGCCTTTATTTCTCTAGGCTATTTTCTCTTAGTATTATTTATATTATTATTTATTAATTTTAATAGCTATTCTAATATATTAATTAAGGTTATTAGGTTTATTTATTTTATATAATTTATCCTTAATTTTTTCTTTAAGTCTTTAATAATAGATCTTTATAAGGGCTTTATTATCTTATTTAACCTTAGATATAAGTTATTAGAAAATCATAGAGTAAGTAATATATAATTTATTCTAGGTTAAGCTATAAAGTTTAATAATAGCTTATTATTCCTTATTAATAATTTTAAATATTTCTTTAATAGCTACTTTAAAATTATTTTAATTAGTAAAAATATTAATAATTTCTTAGTCTTAATTAGATTTATTTTTATTCTCTAAGAAGTTTCTCTAGATAAATTTAAATTATATTATAATAGTTCTATAAAGAAGAGATATAATAAAAAGTATTTTCTTTATATTAATAGTAATATATTAAGGAAAAAGCTTAAAATATCTCTTTATTTTAATAAAAAAAAGTATAATATTATACGCTTATTCTATAAATAATTTAAATATTATAAGTTTAATAATTTTTCTTAGATCTTTATTATATTATTACTAGGTAAGTATTATAAGCTAGCTTTATAGTTAATCTTAGAGTTAATTAATTATACCTCTAAGTTATTAGATTTTAGCTATAAGTTTAGTAATACTTAGTAATATCTTATTATAAGATAGTAATCCTTTAGCGGAAGATCTAATAAATAAGGTATTCTATTTATTAGAAAATATATTATTTAATAATATAAATATTATATAATATAATATAGAAATATACTAAATAAGAAGCTATTAATATATAATATCTAGAGTTTTCTAAGGAAATAAATTAGGTATATAGGTTTATTATTAATAGAGAGTCTCAGCGTTATTATATAATAAGGGAATTATATCTTAATAATAGGTTAAAAAGGTCTTAAAGGTAATTAAAGTCTATTAATAGCTTAAGGGCTAAGTATTTACTTAAGATATAATAAGTATTATATATATATAAGAGGCTTTATACTTATAGAAATAAAGTCTAAATAAGGGCCTTATATTTATAAAAGTAAGGTCTAAGTAAGGGCCTTATACTTATAGAAATAAGGTTTCTTATAGTTAGTATATTAAGAAGGGAAAATATAGGGAATAAAAATAATACATAATAGGGGATATATTAGGCCGTAATAAAACGTCTTATAGAAGTTTAGCTACTAAGTCTTAAATAGGGAACTAGAGCCTAGCTCTCTTAGCTAGCCTCCTTATTTATCCTATAAGTTAATATAATAAAAAACTAATAAATACTTTTATCTTATTACTTTACTTTTATATAGCTTAGTTAAAGTTTATTTAAATTCTTATAAATTTTAATATTCTTATTACTCTTTAGCTATTTTATATTTTATAACTATAATACACTTTTATAGCAAACCTGACCTACTAGGTTAGCTCGCCTGTGCCCTTAAACCCCACAGGTAATACAATGCCTCTGCGGATATGCCGAGTCCCCACACGCAGCTAGAAGTAGAGCTATGTGTCAACGCGGATATCCCGCGGGAGGGCTTTTAGAAGCTGACTGGCGTGATAAAGGTTTCAGTGCGGCAAAGCCATTGCCCAATTGATTTAGTAACACTCCCTCCCGCTCATTGTACTTTTATTATAATCATTAATAATTATCTACCGACTCCATAAATCTCGTAACCGTTTTATCCGCTGTCTCACTCAATTGAAGAAAAACTCTACCAACTGACTCGCTATTCCACACGTCTAAGTCATGTCTCCCATATGCAGAGGCATTCTAAACAGTCCCGCGTCGCAAGACAGTGGAAACTATACAGGATGGTTACAAGCGCATTAAGGACATCTACATTCCCACCAGAGATGGCTCTGTCCTCTGCTGTAACGTCTATCTGCCGCTTCGTGGCAGGCCGGAGAGTTCCCTGTCCTTCTGACGCTCGGCCCCTATGGAAAAGACGTGCACTTTACAGACTTTGGCCTCCCTCAGACCGACATGTACGCCCATATGGCCAGAGCCATCGCGCTGCTTGGGCCGCACGCATACTTCGAAACTCCCGATCCTATCATTTGGGAGAGGCATACACCAAACTCCCGTGCACCAGGTAGAGCGTCCGATAATATATAGTGCAAAGAACATGGCTATGCCATCGTGAGAGTCGATGCTAGAGAATTCGGCGGAAGTCCCGGTGTTCTCGATCCACTCGGCATTGGCCGGACAGAACTCACCAAGGATGACTGACTCTGAAGGACACGGTACCGGTCGTCCATCTCACTGCTTGCAAACCTAAATGTGGCTAACTTAGATCTAGATGCCTATGATGTTGTTGAATGGGCCAGTACCCAAGAATAGTCAAACGGTAAGGTTGCCACGACCGGCATCAGCTACTTCGCCATGGCCTGCTACTGGGCAGGGATGTTCTAACCCCCACACTTGGCCGCCATTGCCCCATACGAAGGTCTGACCGACATGTACGGCGAAGTGTGTCGACAGGGTGGTGTATGGCACTCGGGATTCCAGAAGTACTGGTTCGACAATATTATTTTGACACCAATGTGGAAGGGGTGCGGGCCTGAGTGAGGGACAGCTAGGAAAGCAATGTTTTGACTACAGCAGCCTCGCAACCAACTAGACGTGGCGAAGCGAGGGTCCATGGCCCGTATTCGACCGCACAAGAGACCTGTCCAAACTCAAGGTGCCCATCTTATCTGCCGGCAACTGGATGGACTCGGAGGTGCATTTTCCGGGAAATCTAGCAGCGTTTGAGAGGTCTTCATCAAGGTGGAAGTTCCTCGAGATACACACGGGCAATCATATTGCCTCCTACTATGAGCCAGCGCAAACTGAAAGACAACTTATATTTTTCGACTACTTTCTCAAGGGCAAGACAGACAACGGACTTGAAGCAACCCCTCGGATCGATCTCCTCATTCGCCGAGGCACCAATAACTCTTATCGTGTCGAGGAGTCGTGGCCTCCCCAGGACACTATCTACACCTCTCTCTATCTAGCCCCCGACGAGGCCCTCTCCTTTGATGAGTTCGCCGCCTCGTCCGAAGACGACGCCATCTCCTCTGCCGGATTGACTGGAAAGGACCTGTTCCAGAGCGCGCCTCTGAAGGACTTTGAGATCCTGGGCTACCCCAATCTTGACTTAGCCGTGTCTACCGACGCAAAGGACATGGACATCTTTATCTACTTTTGTCATCGACTCGACTAGTGAAAAGCTCGTCTTGCGTGGCAATCATGATAAGCCTGCCGTGTCCTTTCTTCGAAGCTCGTTCCGCTTGTCTCACCGCACGCTGTCAAGCAAGTCAACTACCAACAGGCCCGTGCTAGATCAGATGAAGCCGGCGGCTGTCGAAGAGGGCAAGCGATACAACATCAAGATTCCCACCCCCCCCCCCCACTTCAATCGTTGTCGAAGTTGGCCACAGGCTTGCCCTTGCATTACGGGCAAGCGATGAGGAGGAGATTACCCCCCCTCCCCCCCTGCGACATGTCGGGTCAAACAGGCCGGATAGCCTACTCTGGCACAAACAGGATTATTCTAGGTGGTAAACTGGTGATTCCTGTCGTTGAACGCGTTTGATTCGGGCGGATGATTCTAGCATATATGCTTTATGGCGGATCAGGTTGCCTGGCTTAGAACTGGCAGACCGACAGTGGGTTCTATCACTCAACCGTGCTCTTGTTGCCAAGGTTGGTGTATATGAATTGGCGTTCTCGGCCAGTTGATACTTGATAGAAACTGGGCTCCGCACTAACCTTACCTTGCGTTGTCTCCCCGCCAGATACTAGTTGATTTGCGAACATATCTGCGTTGGAGAAGGAGCAACATGTCGGACTCTCCGGTTGATCCAGAGTGGACTAGTGCCATTAACGTTCACTGAGCGATCAGCAAGGCTCCGATCAATATCAACAAAAGCTACCCAAAGCAAGGTTTGTTTAATGTTTATTACTGCACGTATCCTCATTCAACCGACCAATCTGGCTGACGAGAGCTGTCACAAGGAGGCATACTGCCGCTTATCCAGTCACCGGTTCCCAACCCCTCCATTCTTGTTCCCGAAGATGAGGCGTGAGGAGTTTTATGGCCAAAGAATGCCTATTGTGGGTCAAAATTAAAATCCTGGCTTAAGTCGTTGCTGTAGAAAGCGTCGAAAAGATCGACATGAAGCCCGTTTAAGGACACTTGGGGAGAGGTGTTGTCACTGCCGTCGACACTTCTAACCCGCTCTGCCCCGGGGAGCCTATCTTTAGTAGTGCTGGGGGAGGCCCCGTCGTGTGCAGATTCGTGCTGTCCCGACAACAGTGACAAAGGTGGGGAGAGCCCCTGGCCTCGCTCTCTACGGGTCGGCGATGACCTTTTGTGAAGAAATTGGCGCATAATATCAGCACAGCGCTGTGAGGCTTTTAGTTTGATGGATTCGAAAACTTCAACAGCAAGTTGGCAGAGCTTCCTGTCCTCTTCCGCTCTTCCTGGGTCAGACTCCAGGGGTGACAGTGAGCTGGGCTGATTACCGGCATGTCTCTGCTGGCGGTTTCGAGAATGCTGATCGTCGGCAACCTTGAGCAAAAGAACAAGGGTGGACTGCAGGCAATAGAAATAGTAGTAGCTCCAACGCCTCAGTCCTGGCGCTAATATAAACAGCTTGTGAATATGCCGTATTGTGTCCCTGGCCGCATCTATATAGAACGATTGGTGAAGGCCAGACAATGGCTTGCTGGCTAAGGCATGGCGGTCGAATGGCTTTCTCAGGATGGTGCCTCGGAGAAGGATGATTTTTGCAAGGTCATAGTCTGTGGGTGGTGTAAGCAATTCAACAAGAGGTCTACTTTGCTGCAGCGTGTTGAGCGGAATATTGACGAGACGACTTACGTATTCGAAGACTACTTTGTTGTCTCGCTTTCCAGTTGTACAAGTAAGCGGGATCATAGCTGTTGTACGCCTCTTGGCTAACATTTGGAAAGGCAAGGTAAGGAGGAAGCGAAGCCCTCCAACCTTCCAATTCCTGGCGCAACGCTTCTCTCTGTTCCAGCTTGAGCGAGCTCGGTTCAGCGGACTCGGCAGACTGAAGAGATGGTAAGCATTGGCACGAACGGTTAAGACAAGAGAGCTTCGGTACAAGTTTGATGATTCTGCGAATTATTTTGGCGAATTCTGCTAGGTATAGTATAAAGGCAACCTGGGCTGAGTCTGTCACGGCTTCTTCGTTGGTTGGAAGCTCGACGAGTGTTAGTGAGATGGCAATAGTAACACGGCAACCATACCTGCACAGTGGGATAGTCTATATTCATCTCCGAAGTGCGTAGGGACATGGGTCGGCTAGCATTAAGACTGAGCTCCACTTCCTGGATGTAAATAACCCACCACGTGCGCTTCGCCTCTTCGGCATCGACTCCGAGCGACGAATGCAATGACTCAACATTAAGTCCGGTTGAGAATGCCAATCGAGTCGCAAGACCATTAAGGATGTATGCGACTGTTTAATTAGACCTTGAGTAAATTAAAAAAGGGTGCGAAGAGTGTCTTACGGTTGGGTTTGATCGTATGCTGGGCGTAAGCGCCCTATTGAGAGAAGTTGGTTAGTGTGATATGATTAAGTGAGGGAGTGTGGATTTGCAAACCAGAAAGGTGGCAGCTTGGACTAGTTGTATATTACTAGAATCCAATAGACGCCCCAGCATTTGTTGCGCCTCTGCAAAATACCACGAAGCCCAGGAAGAGCTGTCTTCTCGCTTATCCTCGTATAGCGCACCGAGTGCAAGCACTATATATAGCAAGCAGATAAACTGCGGTCGCCTTATATCGTTAAGAGTAGCTATGAAAAGCCTTCGGTCTCCAAAAAGATGCCTTAGCGAGCCGTATCGTGTTTTAAACGCACCGATGTCGAGAATGGGGAGGAAGATGTGAATAGTGCGGAAGAAGCTATCGATATGGCGGCCGGCGATGAGTTCACGCAGGTATCGATCGCCACGGAGATCGTTTAACGGGACAACGTAGTCACAGAAACTTGTTAGGCCCTCTAGCCTAAGACTGTCGGAGCTTTTGTCGTTCGGTGGCTGTTGCCCGGCCGCCAAGTCGTTTCGGCGCCGCTTGGCGGGCGGATTGCCCTCCAAAACGTCGTCAAGCTGCCTGACCCGTTTGTCTAAAAAAGAAGCGGTTATGAACGTCGAGGTTTGTCTTACTCGCTGTGAGATGGGATGATGAGTCCAAATGTCCGAAGTGGGATTTACTATAGTACTCGAAGCACCCAGTCTGTTCGTTCAACTGAGCAACGCCGCTGGATCGTCTCTCGGAAGGGTGCTTCCTCGGCTTCTGCAGGCTCGGATCGGGAGCGTGGGCAAAAATCCTGGCTTGCCGGCTCATTTCTTCTTCGATCCTGTCGAGGCGGGAAAGCACGAGATCCAGTTTCCTTCAAAAATGTTAGAGTCGCAGCGCAATATTCGGGAGGAGACGTACTCAACAAGAACCTCATGCCCGCTTGGCGAAGCCAATGGAGCAAAGGAAAAGACGCACTGCACCTCTTTCTTGTCGCATTGATCACAAGGCTGGAGACCATTGCACTGGGACAACTGTCAGCGTAATCCGAGGCCTCTCAGAGCTTGAGTCACCTTGATCCGTTTCTCCCGACAGCGCCCACAAGCCTCGTGGGCCTTCTTGCGGACCGCCCTTGTCCTAGTGGAAGCAACCACTATGTTTGTGGAGACGGCACTGGTCATCTTGCCGATCTAGCTGCTGATGCCGTCTTGGTAGCATTCAAAAGCTGTCACCTGGGAAGTCATGAACGACGTTGAAAACATGCGGAGTCTGGGGCGGCATTTCAGCAAGATTGCGAGATCAGGCAGATTTGAAATGCGGGGGCCGGTACGACGCCACCCCCGCAACCTAACCATCTCTGCCGTTCAACCCTGCCGTGCCTGTAAGGGCTAAGCCATAAGGAGCGAAGTGTTCCATAGATGGATTAGGACCTCGTTATGGTGTGTTGACTGGTATAAGCGGTATATGTCTTTAACGGGTTTTATTAATCATGGCTGCTTCTGCTGCCAAAGCCGAGGCCAATCTCTAGAATATAGAGCGGTGTTTTGGTATCCGTCTGGAATCTCCGCGGACCAATCGGGACCTCCGCACCCTGAGGCCCATTACGGTTCGAACGAGTAGGTGATATTAAAACTACACAAGTATATAGACTGAACCTGAATCGTTGAGTACGGTTCAAGCCGAATTTCTCTACCACAGTCCCCTAAATAGAGTGCGCAATGAGTTCAGTAACCGAATCCAAGATCGATATGCTCGTGATCGGAGCTGGGCCTTCGGGGTAAGCGCATCAACTGGACCCTTCACCAATTAAGCCCTGGCTCACAATAATATTCAGCCTCATGCTTATGACGTGGCTGGCTCGGCTTGGAATCAAGGCTCGCATCGTCGACAAGCGATTTAATAGAATAAACAGCGGGTGAGAAGATGCCTCCCGGAGCACTGGAAACCCCCATCGCTTACAGGACACCAGGCAAGCAGATGGTCTGCAGAGTAGGACGTTCAAAGTAAGCCCAACCCATTGCTAGATTATCCTAAGATGAGAAACTCACAAACTTGTGGACAGATATTCGACTCTCTTGGATTCGGCTAGGATGTTTGGCGGGAAGCAAACCACATGCTGGAGATTTAATTCTGGGTGACGACTATACACCTCGTCTTGATCCGAAATAGTTGCTAATTGTTTCCTAGAACCCAGGTGAGAACAAGAAGCTGTACCGATCTGACAGAATTGTGGATACAATGCCTGGCCTCAGTCGTTTCCAATAGGCAACTCTATATTAAGGTACCAGAGACACCCTGGTGATCGCCTCAGACCTTTTGCTAACAACTCTCAGCACGTATTGAGGACCATCTGCTCAAGTACATCGACAAGTTCAGTGGCATTGAGGTGGAATACGGTGTGATGCCAGAGTCCCTTACTATTGATGCCGATAAGGTTGAAAGCGATGAATATCCCATCTCGGTTACTCTTCGCAGCTTACCTAGGCCGGATGCTAAGTCTCCTCACGTTCCGGCTGATGAGCGAGAGCCAAGGGTTCCAAACGGACTCTATAGAAGCAATCTCACAGCGGATAGCATAGACGAGATCTTGTAGAATGCGCAAGCCACCAAAGAGACACGCACGGAGAAGGTTCTGGCTAAATATGTGGTCGGCTGTGACGGAGCACACTCGTGGACCCGGCGGTAGATTGGATCCGTGATGGAAGGTGACCAGATAGATTACATATGGTCAGTACCGTTGCATATCTAAACCAATATGTTGACTACTGACTAGATGGAATAGGGGCGTGCTCGATATAATTCCTATTACGGACTTTCGTGAGTCTTAACCCTGTTCAGCACTTTGCAGAATTAACACTCACGCCACGCATCAGCCGACATTAGGTATCGCTGCGCCATTCACTCGGACTCCGGCAGCATGATGGTCATTCCTCGAGAGGGCAAATATGTCAGGCTCTACATCCAGGTCACAGAGGTAGATGAGAACGGTAAAGCTGTAAGCGGTTTGGATTAACCCACATTGGCATTGCTACCATCGACTGACATGCTTCAAGATCGACCGTTTTAAGATCACGCCGCAGACCTTAGTCCAAGCGGCCAGCAAGATCCTCTCGCCTTACAAACTCAGCTACAAGCATTGTCACTGGTGGACTGCATACCGCATCGGACAAAGAGTGGGCTCGAAATTCAATGCATATGATCGCGTCTTCCTTGCTGGCGATGCAGTGCACACACACAGCCCGAAAGCTGGTCAAGGCATGAATATTAGTATGCATGACAGTAAGTTCAAGTATCTCCTTCAGTATCATACGACTCTAACCACCGTGGCTCAAGCATTCAATCTGGGATGGAAGCTAGCTTCTGTCGTCAAGGGATGGGCGAAGCGATCGCTTCTCACGACATACACTACCGAACGGAGGTAAATCGCAAAAGAGCTGATCGAGTTTGATCAAAGGTTTTCCCGCCTCTTCTCGGGCCGGCCTGCCAAGGACGTCCTGGATGAAGGGGGCATAGACCTGAAGACATTTAAGCAAGTTTTTGACAAAGGCAACCTATTCGCTAGCGGCTGCGCTGTCGACTACGGTGCAAGTATTATTGTAGCTAAGCACCAGGCTATTGAAAACGCGAATGGAACGGGAGCCGTCGCGACGATTGGGAAGCAAGAGCTTGCTCTAAAAATTCCCATTGGAATGCGCATACCAAGTTATAAGGTTTTAAATTAGTCAGATGCGAGGCCATGGTATCTCTAAGAACTGATGCCGAGCACTGGGGCCTGGCGAGTTGTCGTCTTCGCTGGAGATGTTCTTAATCCTTCCTAGTTCTCGCGGTTGTCAGCTCTTGGAAAAGCATTGAGCTCGCCTAGTTCATTCTTGAACCATTATAAGCCTAAAGAGGATGAAAGGTTGGCCTCATTTTTCGAAATCTTGACTGTTCATTCTTCCCCCCGACACGAGGTTGAGCTGCTCTCGTTGCCGGACATTTTTCACCCTTACTCAGAAGAATATGGCTGGGATTATGAAAAGGTTTTTGTAGACGACGTGTCATACCATGAAGGGCATGGGCAGGCGTATGCAAGCTATGGCATTGATACTACTAGGGGCTGTGTTGTGGTCGTCCGGCCGGATCAATATGTTAGCTGGATTGGAGAGCTGGAAGATGTGGATGATATGGAGAGGTTTTTTGAAGGAATTTTTCAGTAAAGGGTTCAAGATCTAAAAGACGCATCTTAAAACTTTTGTTAATCTATAGAAGTTAATTTTAAGAGCTTTATCCCAGGCTAAGTTAGCCCTACTAATACTGATTTTTATAAGTACCTAATATATAAAAGGCATTTTAGCTGATTTTTTTATGCTATAAGAAATATGATAGAAAAGGAGATTAATTAGTAAATAAAGAGCTATTATAGCTTAGTTATTATTTAAGATAAAGAGTTAAAAAGTAAAGAAAGGAAGCAAGCTATAAGTATTAATATATCTTAGTTATATCTTATTAGTTAATTTTACTTAGTATATTAAAAATAAAAATAAAACCCTAAAATATTAACCTTTATATATAAGAAGGTAGAGGTATTTTACTTCTTATAATAGAG